AAACTAAAAATTCTTTTAAGTGTGAGGAGGGTGAGGGAAGCGGTGAACCAAGTCCCCGCCCTGTGCATCGCTCACACACAAGCACACTTGCTCTACCTGCCACCCCCACCACTGAATCCCAGAGCTGAGCAGCACTTCTTACCCCCAAACAACCCGAAATATGTCATAGTTTGAGGGCTGAAGTCACCTACTCATAACCCAAGCCCTTTTCTCCTTTTCTGTAACCCCCGCCCAGCCCTCCTGCTCACCGAATGTCACTACCCCCATATGTCTCCTTGGGCTTCTTCCTCCTCTCTTTCTGGAACCTTATCAGGCAGAATGCAGCAACTGACAGGAACAGCACGCCCAGGAGCACCCCAATCAGGGCCCCAGCCACTCGGCCTTTGGATGGGTCTAAAGGGGACACAGGGAACTCGGAGGGGCAGACCTTCCTTGGTCTCTCCCCAGGTGTCTCATGCAGCCTCCCCAGCCCAGGCCTGCCAACCGGGCCTCTGCCCAGCATCCCCTACCAGTCACAGAGAGGGTCAGCTCACAGGACGCACTGCCCATCTGGTTGGTGGCCACACAGCGGTAGGTGCCAGAATTGGTCAGGGAGAGATTGGTGAGAATGAGCTGGCCAGACACCTCATCTAGAGGGTAAAGAGGAAGTGTCCTATCATTCATTCAACTCACAGGGAGCACCTACTATGATGAAAACATATTTCATCCTTACCACAATCCTGTCAGGAAGAGACTAACCTCATTTATTAGGGGGGACCCTGGCTCAGAGAAGGAAAATAATTGTCCAAGGTGACCCAGAAAGGAAGTGCCAAAGTCACTGCCACTTCTGTGCTCTTTCCACCCTGCACAGCTGCGTTTTCAGGAGAGGGGGAGATGGCACACTCGTGGGATTGGGGTGGGAGGCTTGATTGCTAGAAACTGTACCTTCTGGGGTAGCTCAAATGTTTTACTAAGCGGCTTACCCTCCCTTTAGAAGGCAGAGCACACACCAGATGATCCAGAGGGCTCTCTGGATTGATAAAGGGGTGTGCTGGGGCTGGGGCAAGGGACGGGGCACTGGAACCAGCATGAGGAGGCTGAGAAGACAAGGCCCTTACCCATTTACCTGGTTCCTCCCAAGACACTGACTAAATGATTCAAGCCAGTCCATGCTACTCTGCCTCAGTTTCCTCTCTGGGAAGCTTGGAAATGATTCGTGACCCTCAAGAAATCCCCAAAAGTGGGAATCATAGAAGACCCCCTGTCTTCCCCCTGTCTTCCACTGTCTTCCAAGACACCAGGAGTACATGTAACTTGAGAAATGCTCCCCGGAGCACAGAGCCACAGACCACAGGAAGCCAGACAGGTGGGAGCAATACAGGACCGCAGGGAAGAAGCAGGGAAAGGTACAGCGGTCTGTCTCAGATCCACAGGCACAGAACCGGTAAGTGAGGGGGTGTGGAGTTTAGAGACCAGGTGTGCCCAGGTCCTGAGTCCCCTCTTCCCTGATGCCGCAGGCCCTTACCTTGCACCATGCTGCCAGGAGAAGGCGTAGGGAAAGATCCAAGGTGTACCCAGTTGTACACTGGCCTGGGGGCTCCCCGGGAAGAGCTGCACTTCAGTGCAGCAGAGCCCCCCACGGAGGTCTGACCACTCTTACTGCACAAGGGACTACTGGGGGGCACTGCAAGAATCACAGAAAGTACTTTAGCCATCTTTTAGCCCCACCCCCCATCAAGTGCTAGATTTCCTGCTCCAGTACTCCCACCAAATAGTAGTCCACTTCTGTTCACGTTCCACTGCATCCCCAGGAAATGATTGCCACTATTGGAAATTCTGATTGTTAGAAAATTCTTCCTCGTGTTGAGCCAAAATCTGTGTTAATATAATATCCACCCGTTTGGTCCCAATTTTTGCCCACAAAGAGAAATGAAAAATCTCTCCTCCACAGGACAAGCCTTCAGATATTTGAATGCAATTGTTACACACCTCCTAAATCTTCACTTTTCCACCTAAACATCCCCAGCCTCTCTCATAGTTTCTGTTTGCTCATCTCTGAGCAGGTTCTGGGTTGGAGTGAGATGGAAATTCTGAACACAAGGTTGGTGCCTAGTGACAGGGGCCCTTGTTCCTTTAATGGCCACTCCCCTTTTCTGCCACTAACCTACGGAGAGACAGAATCTGAGCTACAAATGGGACGTTCCCCCAAAGATAGAGTTGTCCGGGGCATGACTCAGATCCCTATATATGGGAAGAGCTTTCTCTCTCTTGAACTCTTTGTGACTGGAGACTGAGGGAAGAGGCATTCTTTGTGGAGGGTGGAGAACTTTGGGAAGGAGGTATTTTCCCTTGGGGTGGAAAGCAGGAATCTGGGGGAGGGAACTTAGCAGGGCCAGTGCAATCTTTCTCAGTACATGGGTGGCTGGTGGGTCCCCAGCCTGCCTTACCAAGCACAGTAAGGTTGATGAGCCCCAACCCATTGGTGTAGAAATCTGGCGGGTTATTAACTTGGCAGAGGTAGGTTCCAGTGTCCGAGGGGTCGACATCAGGCAGCTTCAGGGTGGCCACCCCTCCTGTGGGGGGGTTCTGAAGCAGGCTGGCTCTCTTTGCCTTAGAACCAGTTGGATACAGATGGCCATTGGTGAAGTACAGGATCTGGGGAGAAGCAGAAGACACACATATGTGCCTTTTTCTTCCTGGCATCAACTCCACAGTCCTTTCTCCAAAGCAGGTGTAAGAAAGTATTAGAGGCCCTCCTTTTATACCAGACAGGGAAGCTGATGCTCTGGAGCCAGAACCAGCAAGGTCTATCTGTCCCCAAATACCATCCCTTCCCAAGGGCTAAATAAACTAGTTTTATTGCTTTCAGCTAAGCACGCTCTCAATCTGAGGGGGGAGATTAATGCAAATATTCCTGGAAGGGGCATCATTTGATCCTACTAACAATCACCAGAGCTTAGCATTAATGGGTTTTTTAACTAAAACCGGGACTGCACTAGGGTAGGGGAGTTGCTTGTAGGAGCGAGGGGAGACAGGTTGGATATACAGAGCCATACATGGCATACGGAGTCATGCAGACTGTGGTCCTAAGAAGATCTAGAAAGAGTCCACTCTTTTTTTCATCCAAGTATGCCTATTCCCAAACCCACCCTCTCTGACCCGCACCCTCATCCTGGGTGGGCCTTCCTGTTCCCGCTTCTCCCAGCCAACCCCACCAAGAGGCCGGAGGGCCGCCCCACTCCAGCGCAACGCTCTCAGCTCACGGGGTGGGACTCAGAGATGGGCTTCCCAGGCGGCACAAAGCTCCACTCCAGGGCGAAGTTGTCTCCCACCGACGTGCTGTAGCTGCAGGTCAGCTCTGCGGTCTTGCCCACGGGGGTGCTCAGGGGCTCAGCGGGTACCTTCACCTCCACAGCTAGCCCGGGGGCTGGGGGGACACAGAGAGAGGGGAGGCCGGCGGGAGAAGCGCTCGGAGGGCGCCAGGCCCGGGGCTGGGGTGGAGTGGAGGTCCGGGCCCCGAATCCCGGTGGCGGTCTTGGGGTCCGGCCCAACCCGCGGCTCTCAAGGCCTCCCTCCCTCCTCCAGAGCTCAGCTCCCTCCCCTCAATCCCTCCCTTCTCGAAACCTGAGGTTGCCGGGAGGGAGGAGCACACATCTCGGCCGGGTTTTTGTGGGTAAAAGGCCCGAGACTGGGCCAGGTATGAGGGTGTGTTTGTCAGGGAAAGGAAAACAATAGTCCGGTGGTGGTTAAACCCTCCCGGGGAGGCCCAACTTGCCCGCCGTATTGCGTGACTGTGTCCTTCGCCCGCCCGGCCTTCGACGCCCTCTCCCTAGTCCCGCCCCGCGGACCCCGGGCCCCTGCGGCCCGGGGCACCCCCAGCCTGCTCCGCGGGACTGAGCCGGCCCCAGAAGTCCGGAGGCCAGGCGTCTGCCCCCCAGCTCTGACTGTGGTCCCGCCCGCCGCCTGCTCACCGCCCAGGCAGACGAAGCCCAGCAGGGCCCCGCAGAGGAAGGGCCCCGGAAGCCGGCCCATGGCCAAGTCCAGCCGTCTGTGGGTCGGTCTGAGCGGTCTGGGTCTGGGGGAGGGAAGGCAGAGCCCACAGGGCGGCCTCCTCATGCAGGGCAGGAGCGAGACTGGTTATCTCAGAGCAAACAAGGGGAGAGGCCGGTGCCCTCAGGTAAGGAAATGCTCCTCCCTCCTCCAGCCCCAATCCTGGAATCATTCTAGCCCTACTCCCTTCTTCCGACCGCCTCCCCCCAATTTCTGAAGCTGTCAGGCCCCGGGGAAAAGGGCCGGGCTTGGGTGGCCACCCCGGAGGGAAGGGATCAGATCTGGAGCGCTCTGTAGACAAACAAAGAGCGGCCCCTGAAGAAAAGGGAGGCATTCTAATAACCTGAGTCGGCAAATGGACATCACCACTTTGGGGTCCCACCCCGGAGCATGAGCCCCAGGCAGAAGATCCTTCCTGACCCTTTCCGAGATTCTTATTCCTTCCTAGTCCTTCTTTTCTCTGAGAGTCCTTCTTTGGCACCTTTATCACCGCTTGCTGAGGTAGGAGTCTCCATGGAAACTAAAGCCAGCTCCTCACTCCCAGAGCCACTCCATTTCTTGGCAGAGAAACTGAGTCTTGGAGGAGACCCCACCCTTGATAGGAAAGGGTGTGGCAGAATTGGGGCCCACGCCTGCACCCCCCATCCTATGTCCAGCTTTCCCTCACCACACTGGAGGGCAAGATGATGTGTTTAAGGACTCAGTGGTCTGGGAGAGGGAAGACCAAGTCAGGTTTCTCCCTCCTGCCCTTAAGAGGAAGCAGGAGATGAAGAGCACCCACACCCCAAGTCCGTGAGTACTCAAGCCCTAGCAGAAAGGGCACCGGGTTTCATCCCCTTGCTGCTCAGAGTGGGTTAGGGTCTTCCTGGCCTCAGACTTTTGGGGCCTTCCCCATGCCACCTGATAGCTAATGACCCTTTTATTTTTTTTTTTTTTTAAGACTTATTTATTTATTTGAGAGAGAGAACAAGCAGGCTGGGCAGAGGGAGAGGAAGAGAGAATCAATCCCAAGCAGACTCTGCGGGACTCCATCTCAGGATCCTGAGATCACCATCCAAGCCAAAACCAGGAGTCAGATGTCCATCCGACTGTGCCACCCAGGCGCCCCCACAAAAGACCCTTTTAAAGACTCTAGAAGAGCTGTTCCAGGAAGCTGTATGGAGAAGCCCTCCAGGGTTTGAAAAGGCAATTTGACTCCTACTTTCCATGCAAACACAATGCATCTTTATTGAAATTTGCAAAATAAAAACAAAAACACACATTTCAAGTTAGTTTAAAAAATACCTTCCCTATCCCCTGCCCCAACAAAACCCAACCAAGCCAGCAGGACAGGTTATATGAATGCAGGGAGCTGGAGTGGGAGTGAAGGATGCTGTTAGATGGGGTGGAGTACAGATCAAGGGGGCCTGGAGGACTCATCGACTGGCAGTCCCTACCAGGGCCCTATCTCAGCAGTATTCCCTGCAGTCCTAAGGAGGACTGGGGGAGGGGGCGGGTGCTCTTCCTAATCTGAGGTCCACTTCCTCTTCTTCTACTTCCTGAATGTTTGGATCTTAACAGAGACTCAGTGTTCCCATAGTAAAGAAAGGTGTGGGCAGAGGACTGGAGGTCTGGAAGGTGGTCCCCCAAGACTCAGGCCTCTGAGGTAGGGGTGACCCCTATAGGAAGAAGAGAAACCAGATGGCTTAGCTAATGAGTCGCTGGAGCATCACACCAGAGACCCAGCCTGACTCTGGGCGGGCACCATTACGGGGACAGCACCCATGCGGCTCAGAGCAGAGGAAGAGACCCCACCAGGGCTGGGGGATATTGGCTGAGGTTGGGCCCCATCTGTCCTGGGCAACCTGGGTGAGGGCAGGACCTGACTGGAGAGGCTGAGTGTGGGGGTCAGTGCACCAGGTCTGGGAGGACCTTGGGGGTGCCGGAGGGCTCGTGCTGAGGTGACAGAGGAAAGCGTCCCATTCTTGGAGATTGTGTCTGAGCCCTTGGGCCAAGGCAGGGTCCGGGGAGCAGTGGCATCCTCCCTAGTGATCAAAGAAGTAATAAGAGGTCAGAAGCTGGAGGGGGGAAGAGGGGAGAATTTCTATATGCTTTGTCTTACTCCCTGCTCAGACAGCGTTTCACTCTCCCCTCCCTTAAAATCCACCCAATGGAATGATGTTTCAGACAGCTGCCCGAACTCGCAGACAAGGGAAGCTAGGAGAACCCTGTTTGGGCAGAGACCACACACACTTACTTGATATCATTGGCCGGCTCCTCTAGGGCCTTGCTCCGGCGTTGGTACAAGAGGACCAGCCCAGCCAGCAGCCCTAGTCCAACCAGAGTGCCCACAACAGCTCCAGCAACCACCACAGGCCCTGGCCCTGGAAAAGCCTTGGTGTCAGAGGGAGACCCCCAGCTGGTCCCCACCCCCTCCAATCCCTCTACCCCACTGCCACCATAAACAGTTTTTTCTTCTTCCATTTTCTGTCAAGCAGAAAATGGTCAGTCAGTGACCAGACATTTGTACAAACATCTGACCAGGACAAGCTCCTTGTCCTGTTAACAATGACAGGCCTCAGCAGGCAGGCCTCCTCTCCCCTTGCGACCCCACCCCCACCAGCGTCCAGTCTTCTCCTTAACCACACTTACCCCTCACTGACCTGTGCTCACTTCCAAGGTCACATTGCACTGGGCACTGCCCACCTCATTGTGGGCCTTGCAGATATAGACTCCAGACATGGGACTGGAAAGGTTTGTGAGGCTTAAGGATCCACGGATGGCATCTGTGGACACAATTGGGCCATCAGTCCAGGGACCGTCTTTCCCACTGAAAAAATTCTGTCCCTTCTGGAATGTCCTCTTTGATTCTCTGGGAGACTCATCTGTCTGTTCCCTCAGGGCGGGAAAAGTTGTGATAGCCAGCATGCTGGGTTCTGTCCCTGAGTACAGAACTGCTAACTCGATGGCGCTCCCCATTTCCACCGCTCAGTGTCCCTGATTGATATCTAAAAAGATTCAGAGAGGAACTGATGCCCAGAAAAACCCAAACACCATGTTTACTTTTAGTTTGGATTGGCGGTGTGGTGAGATAGAACACATTAGGCTAGGAATCAGAAAACCTGACCTCCAGAACAAGCCATGTGACTTTAAACAAGTTACTTGCTATCCCTGGGTCCCAGTTTTTTGATCTGTAAAACGGGGTAATATGACCTCCTTGATGGTGTTGAAAGGATTATATGAAATAATCATTATTAACAGTTAAAGTTCATTGGCCGCTTACTCTATGCCAGAGACTAAGTCCCTTACATGTACCAACTTACGAAAATTTCACAACAAACCTATGAGCTGAGCACTATTTAAAAAATACAAATAATTTTATTATAAAAATGGTCACATGAAAAGTAGAAAGAGGGATGAAATGAAAATCCATATACCCACTACTTTGATTCAATGATTGCTAACATTTTGCTATACTTACTTCATTTCTCTCTCTTGTGAGACACTTAAAAATAAATGCTCAGCATGAGTCTCCAAAAAATAAGGACATAGACCACATAACTACAGTACCACTGCTGCATCTGATAAGTTAATAATCCTCTAAAGGAATTATCTAATACCTAATAATAATTATCTAATCATCCATATTGAAAATGTCCCAGTTGTCCCAAAACATCTTTTATAACTAATGGGTTCAAATCAGGGCTCTGACATCCCCGTTTTACAAATGGAAGCACAGAGTCACGTGGCTAGTAAATGGCAGAGCTAGAATTTGAATGCAGATTATCTAGCTCCAGAGCCTCTTCAGTAACGTAAGTTTACAGCACGCGTAAGCCTCCAACACAGTGGCTGCACCTGCTGGGCCCTCTTTTCCCCACCCCTTCTCTCCACACCCTCCTCCGCCCCAGGACTTTGCAGCATTGCCTCCCCTTTTCACCCCAGTCCCTCTGGTGCCTCTCATCTTTCCCTCCCCCAGCCACAGCCTCAAGCTCCCTCACCTAAAACTGGTGCAAAGAAAACCTGGGCGGATGGGGGTGCCCGCTCCCACTCGTACTGGGCAGCTGGCTTACTCCTTGGGGACTGGCAGCTCAGGGTCACGTTGGTCCCCACACGGGGCACACCCAGGAGACGGCAGGATGGAGAAGCTGGAGGAACTGGAGCAGGGAGACAGGTTAAAAACTCAACCCCAAGGGAACAACAGATCCCTCCCACCCACCCCCAAACACACCCCCTCCCCTTCTGTCCCTCTGTCTGCCCTCCTCCAACCCTTACAGTCAGCCATTTGGGAGAGAGAGCTGCCTGGCCTCCTCTGGGGCTGGGGAAGGTGTTGCCAAGTGTGCGCTTCTCACTTACCCAGCACCCTGAGCTCTAGAGTTTTGCTGCTGTGGCTCCTTTTGATGCCTTGGTGGTCTTGCACATTCACAGAGCAGCGGTAGGACCCAGAGTCTTTCTCCTGGAGGCCCTGCAGCCGCAGGGACACATTCTGGGAGGGCATGGAGTAGACCAGGAATACCCCCGGTTTGCTTGACGTGACCCCACTGATGTACGCCAACACCTGGTGTGGGACAAGATGCCTCCCCGTTATAACATGTGTGCCCTGTGCCCACAGGCTCGGCTAATCCCCCCCGCCCCAGACTGGCAGTCTTCAAGCCTTCCTCCTCTGTACTCACCCCTCTAACCTGTCCCAGCTCCCCGTTCACCCCCTGTCTCCCTAGGCTCCCTCTCACTGCCCCTGGGTCCCCTCCCCACAGCAGTTCTTGATCCCCTATGCTCTGTCTCTTCATCTTCCACTTGAGGCGTTTAGAAGGGTGGTATAATGGTGAGGGATAATGTAAACAGTGGGTATTTATGAAAGAAACTTAGATTGCAGGGGTAGATCAAAGAATTTTTTTAAAAAATCTTTTTATAATCTTCTTTTTCTTGAAGATGTCCCTCCTTCCCCATGTATAAACTCAGGTCCTGTGAAACCTGGATCTACCTCTGCAATCCAAATTTCTCTCATACGTACCCCCCCTATTCATCAAATGACCTCTAGAAAATACTTTCCAGAACTTGGGAGGAGCCCGAGCAAATAAGGGGCTCTGAAAATTAAGTTTTCATTGGCTTCTGGGTAGATCTGCCTCT